AGAGAAAAAAGATTGAAATGACGTTAACCAAAACGATGTTGTCTTCACATAAATGAAGGCAAGACGTCGTCGTTTCTTTCTCATATGGATACGGAAAAAAATGAAAATAGGAAGAAAAGCTTTTCATATAAAAACACCAAAAAAAATAAAAAATAAAAAACGAAATGAAAAATTAATAAAAAAAATTGGAAGGAGATTGAACTATTGCATCTACAGTAACTTCTCATTGCCTTTTTTATATAGTAGGGATATATTTTCTCTTAAACAAAATTCTTAGCAAGTCCCTCTAAATTTAATAGAAATTGTTTTTGTAGTGCATATAAAAAATATATATGGGGCTTGTTTGAGCCCCATTTTTATTGTTATGATGGAGAATGTGTTGTTAAAAAAAGGAAAATTTAAGTTTGCGTATGATATTATTTTATTAAAGAATGTGTGGTTGAAAGATACCAAATCTCCGTTCAAAAATACATTTTGATAGAAAAATGGGACTCAAATAAAGGCGAAATTTTAAATGGTAAAGGAATCAGTGTCCCAAAATATCTATATATTCGATAATTTACCAACAAACAATTATATCAAAATAAAAGTAATGCTACAATTTGAGTTTGAAGCTTACAACAAAAAAACCTTCTCTTCGCTTTTTTTATCATTTGGAATTTAGAGTTTTGTAAGAAGAAGCATATACGATTAAAAAAAAAAAAAATGTATCAGTGAATTGGATCGGTTAATTGAGGGTTGATTAAAATTAATCGAACCAAATCGATTTCTTTAGTTCAAACTGACCCAAACCGATTGGACTGTTTAGTTTGGTCCATTTGATCGATTTTTTAATTTTTTTGACTGTCCCTTTTGTTTTGTATAAATTTTTTCAAAATAAATTATATGGAAAATGATTTGTAAAAAATGTGTGGTTAAAAGTAGAGAAAAATTTTAAATCTACATGTAAAATTGTTTAATTGAAAGAATACGTGGCTAAGAATGATTTTGAAAAAAAAAATGAGTTTTAAAAAATTCGTACAAACAAGGCATTTAACTTATAGTACATCTACAACTTTTTCAAAATAGAATTATTTACCTATCGAATGAACAGTGATCATGTTAACCTGATGTTTTGACCAGTCAATAATCATATCAGGTCTAATGATTATGCATCAAACATGCCCAATTCAATAATATGTGAATTTAGGTTTTTTTTTTTTTTTTTTTTTTTTTGATAAATCAATAATTACTGCCCCGTTTAGCGCTCGTTCTTCAAATTCATTTTCAATCACATATTTCATCAATTTTAATCAAAATTTATTAGATATTTGATTTATTATTTCTTTTCTTTCTCCAAAGTGACGTTCATAGGACTAGAACCCTTTACCATTCTATAACATAGCTTATAAATGCATCCTTGTAACACCGGTTTTTCATGGAGTGGTGAACACTCAAGTCTTGAAGATGTCACTTTGAGGAAAGAAAGTACCCAAGACCAAAAATAGGGAATGAAAGAACCCTAACAAATAGCAAATAGCGTCCCAACAAAAATGTTGACGTTTTTGTGAAATGATATTAGTAGTCCGAGGAAACAATAACCTCTCAAATACGTACAAACATTTGTAAAAATAATTTATCTCACATTTTATTTAATTTCTTTTACACTTTTTAAATAGAGTAAAAGATGAGTCTCGTCAGCTCCTAGAATATAGAAATAACTACCCGCTAAAACAAGGAATACTTCTATAATTAAATTGACCCTTTCCAACTAAAATAATGGATAGAATAGTTAAGTGATTGTTTGACATTCTTTAATTTATTTTATGGTTTGTTATAGGACCATTTCCAATCATACATTAACACAATAAGATATTCTACATGTATACTACAAACTTTTTTCTATCTTTTAATCACATATTCTTCTAAAAATCACTAATCAAAACTCCGTTTTCTACCAAAATGGTGTGAAACGACACTAAATGAATAACAGAAAAAAAAATTAAGGGCATGTTCTCTTTACCATTTTCAAGCCGTTTTCTGTTTTCGATTTTCCAAAATAGTGAAAACGCGTTTTTGAAAA